CACAACACCGAGGCTTTATCTTGCCTCCACTGGCGAGACTTCCAACTTCCCCGACATCCTCGTATCATTCGGCCATGACAATATATACTCCGATCGGAAAGTGGATACATTTGATACCGCCGCCGCAGTGCCCCGCTCATTTGATACCGCCGCTGCATTGCCCCGCTCATTTGATACCGCCGCTGCATTGCCCTGCTTAATTTGATACCGCCGCCGCAGTGCCCCGCTTAATTTGATACCGCCGCCGCAGTGCCCCGCTTAATTTGATACCGCCGCCGCAGTGCCCGGCTTAATTTGATACCGCCGCCGCAGTGCCCGGCTCATTTGATACTGCCGCCGCAGTGCCTCCATTCGTCGTTTCGAGACTAATGGCTTATTCAGCATTGGACCGGGCTCTCCCTTCCGGTGCAGCAGAGCCGCGGCTCCCTTCGGTCGCAGCAGGAGCCCTCCATCTGTTGTTTTGAGATTCATGGCTTATTCAGCATCGGACAGGGCTCCCCCTTCCGGCGCAGCAGAGCCGCGACCCCCTTCAGTCGCAGTGAGAGCCCTCCATCCATCGTTTCGAGCCCCATTTGCTTGTTCCGCATCGGACAGGGCTCTCCCTTCCGGTGCAGCAGAGCCGCAGCTCCCTTCGGTCGTAGTGAGAGCCCTCCATCCGACGCTTTAAACCACGCCACGTATTCAGCTGCAAGAGGGACTCTCCCTTCCGGTGCAGCAGAGCCGCAGCTCCCTTCGGATGCAGCGAGAGTCCCTCACCTGGCCTTCCATCGTGCTCCTCATTCGGCGACAGGTAGGGCTTGTCGCAGCTCACGTTCAAGCACCGCACGATCCCTCCCAGTCGCCCTGCCGCCTCCTCGCACACCCTACTTTTCTTCATGGCACGCATATTTTTTGGGGCTACTTAGTTTTCTCTCCGGCTGCTGTCTCATGCCATTAGCTTCTTTTGGGGAGTTCTCTGGGTTCGGGCTTTAACCCGAGCTCGGAGCCCTCCCTCTGGACAGCACGCCAAATATGCTACTAATTGCTTAATCACATTATATGTTAGTGTGAACTCGTGAAATGATTTTTGTTAAACGGTAACACCAGTGACAACTCCAGGGGACCACTACTTTCATTATATATTTTATAATATTTATTTGGCATTTTGTTTTTTTTATGTAATTTACATCATATATTTGATTAGTTACGAATGCATAATTGTATTTTAAATGGTAGAAAAACCTGTTTTTGACCTCAAAATAAAGCACTTTCCCTCTGTACATGGCTGTGGGGATGAGCAGTTTTGTTGTGCTTGGAATTCTTTATAATTAGTTAAAAACAAATATTGCTACATTGATGGCTCAAGAAGGTGTAATTGTTCAAATAACACGTTGTTTTATTTGAAAATATAATTTTTTTTTTTTTTACATTTTTTTTCAAGTGTAATATTTCTGTAAAGGCTAGGGACAGAAAAATTGACATTTCCATAGAATGACCCCTATATGCACTGCATTCGTTGACATACACACATGCACATCACTCGCACACACGCTGCCATGAGACTTTTATTAATATAACACCTTCGATACCGAATCACTACATTATAATGCTTTCAAAAATCATGAGGAAATCAAACCACAAATGGACCCACAAACGAACCGTACCCAGACCACCTCCGTTTTTCTTTTTTTGGTCCGGACCAAAAGAACCAAGTGAACCGAACTAAGTGTGAACACACCCTAATTCACCATGGGTTCCCTCGAACTTGACGATACTTGATCTACAATGTGAATTACACCCACCCATACCAAAAACGCACATTTGAAGCAGTTATGTTTATTTTAAAAAAGGTTGTTTCTAATAAACTACTTAAAGGAGACATATTATGCCCCTTTTTACAATATGTAATATAAGTCTCTGGTGTCCCCAGAATGTGTCTGTGAAGTTTCAGCTCAAAATACCCCACAGATCATTTAGTATATCATTTTAAAAATGCCCAGTTTGAGTGGAAGCAGAAACACGCTGTTTTTCGTGCCTGTCTCTTTAAATGCAAATAAGCTGCTGCTCCCCGCCCCCTTTTCCAGAATAGTGCTGCACCATTACAGCTCGGACCTCCTAAAAACATCTGTTTTGGTTCTTATTATCATGTTTATCGCGCTGAAATCATGCGTTTTAAACCATATGAGTTTAAACTTCTGATATACGGTTTTCTGAGAGCACACATCCGAAGCACACGGACAGAAAGTGGCTGTCACAGCATGTGAGTATTAAACTAAGTTCTCATTCACACACAAGTTTACGTTAAAAACACACATGAGTTACAAAAAACAGTCGGTTATGTCTGTGAAGGTAAACAGCTGGGAAATAAATCGCATGTTTATTTTAGATCTGTGTGGCAGCAGCAATATACAGTAAATAAATCAATAAATGCACTGCTCTGTTGTCTTCTCTGAGGCTGGGACTCTAAACAGTGTTCCGTGCAGCCAAAGGCAGAACATTAGCATTAGAACTGGTACACCGTTGTCGCTTGTGAAATCAAAATGACGGCGCCGTGGGTGGAAACTTACAGATTAAGGGGTGGTAATATTATAATGAGATCCCTTTGCAATGTCACTAGGGGAGCGAAATCTGACGCGTTGTTTTATTTTCAGACGCTTGCAGAAAAAGGCTTACCAAAACAAAGTCACTGGATTAATCTTTTTCACGTTTCCTTGGTTGGTAGATGCACCGGGGACCTGATTATAGCACTTAAAACCTGGAAAAGTCAGATTTTCATGATATGTCACCTTTAAGTAAGTGTGGTGGCTGCTATGTAATGTTTTGGGAGTTAATAAGATGAAAGCTCTTTTTAACCTGGACATCCTTGAGCTTCTTTTTGTGTAAGCGATTCTCCACAGATAGTCGGCATATACTCCCTTGAGGCAATTATGAAGTTCATAATGGAAGACAGAGAGAACAAATTTAATTAAGATAAGCCTTTACCTGTTCATCTGTTTCTGTTTCTCTGTTTGTTCTCTTCGTAACAAAGCCATTAGAGGCCCGCAAAGTTCATGTCAAAATTCTCTCTTATTTCTTTACCATTGCTCTGTGTCTCTGTGAATCATAATAATGTCACGATCTGGTCTATGATTCCCCTGCTGCAGAAGTGTTAATACACAATGACTACTGAAGCAGAACTTAATTTATATTGTGTTTCTTTCTATATTCAGCGGAACAGAACATTTTCTTGAATGACAGTTGAAATTTATGATAGATTACATGGTTCCTCTGAGTCAGTGAACAGAAAGTGATCTGGACAGTAAGATGTCAGCCATTAACAGTATGTTTGCAAACTTAACTTGTATTATTAATTGAAAGCTACATATGTGACCCTCTCTGTGAAATCCAGGCTAAAGTCTCAAAATCTAATTATGAGATAACAAGCATCAACGTTTGATTTCAACCATTAATTTCACTATATAATTTAAATCTTTGACATGGTCTTACTCCGTCAATATTAAAGATATAAAGGTCACATTTTCACAGAATGTTATTTACCGTATGAAGGATGATTTTATGTAGAAAACAGTAAATCACACACAAAAAAAGACTAGCTGAGTCACAGAGAGGGTCACATATTTGATTCATTATCCTTATTACAAAATTATGCAAAATATTTATACAATTATACAAAATTATAGAATGCAAATTTGCATTTGCATACTAAATATGGGTATAAAAAAGCTACTGCTATTTGCGTCCCAGTGTGAATAGTAACATATAAGCTACTGTTTAAATTAATGTGAATTCAGTATTGTTTTCTTTCTGCACTGTGGTGTAAATAGCAATATAAATCTCCCATTACAGTACAGTCTAGATAAATTGATTTATCTCTCTATTTGAACTAGGCCATCATTTGTTTTGTAGCCTACAGAACACAAGCCATATTGACCAGTTTATGTCTTAACTCATATTTCAATATTTGATTTCTTGTTTCACCAGTACCATTAGATTCAGACGAACCATAATAGGACTGCAAGCATTTTCCAGATTTTGCATATCAAAGCATGTTCCAAATCTAATTAAAAAAAGCAGCAGATATCTGAGACGTGAGGGGAATAAAAGTAAACATTTTAATATAAAAAAACCCCTGCAACATCAAAAAAATAAAATAAGCATTAAATAGTGACAGTAAGGAAAAGTGCAGAAAATGAAGGCTTCATGTGCAAAATGTAACACTCAAATTCACCATAACTAAATATTCAGGACAAATCATGAAAAAGTTTATGCAGAATAATATGGAAAACAAAAGCATATACTTTCATTCATAAGTTAATATTCTATATCCTGGGAAAAACCTCAATCATCTGCCTGCTTGGTAATTGATGACAGCAGCATTGGTGATGGTTATTTTTTGTTTTAAAAAATATAAATTGTACATAAAAAATGTTAAAATAAAAAGTAAATAAAAACTTTTAAAAGCATTATAAAACATTCTTAGGATTTTATTTACACTACTATTGAAATGTTTGGGGTTAGCACATTTTTTTAAAAAGGAAATTAATACTTTTATTCTGCAAGGACACATTATATTTTTCATAAGTGACAGTAAAGACATTTATAATTTAAATTTTAAAAACATATTTTGTTAAATAATGATAATAAATGTTTCTTGATCATCAAATCATCATATCAGAATGATTTCTGAAGGATCATGTGACACTGAAGACTGGAGTAATGATGCTGAAAATTCAGCTTTATCATCACGCTTTATCATATGTAAATAGAAAACATTAATTTTAAATTATGTTACACAATATTGATTTTTATTGAATTTAAAATAAATAATTTCATCTTAAGACATTAGACATAAAAAAAATAAATAATAATAATTAAATTAAAAATAAAAATAGCTCCAGAAGGAAACACAATGCATTAAGAGCCTGGAGGTGAAAACTTTTTGAATTTTAAGATCAGGGTAAATTGAACTTATTTTGTCTTCTGGGAAACTAATTTTCTTGATTTTAAGGAGAAATTGCAGCAAAAAAAGAGAGATGCTTTTAAAATATGTCCTGGAAAAATAAAGCTTTCTTTAAAAGCATTTAAAAATTATAAAAATTTTTTTTTTATAAAATGATCCTAAGGGAAAGAAAAAGTTCCCCTAAAAGAAGAATTCCCCAAATACAATTTATGAACATTTCCACAGAAAGCAGATAGAGAAATAATGTGACACTCCAACTTGCAAACAGATGAAAAATTGAATGGTTTGTGGAAATGACCTCTTAAATGTGTGATTCACCAGTGTGATTATCGCTCCTGGAGGCCTGTGAAAGAGTGCAGACAGTCAGATGATATTTGTATTCAGTCACAACTAGTTATTAGGAAAACACACAGCTCAGTTTGACTAAAATGCTTCAATGATCATCACCTCTCTTCTTAAGCATTCAGAAAGCAAACATGCAAATGAGAAATGCTATTTCCCTTCTGAGCATACGGTTAGTATGTGATCTTTGACATCCGTGTTATTATTGTCATGAGTACGCTTCAACTCATGACCTGATTGATGATGATGTCAAAGCAGCAAGTAAACACATTTAATAGTCTCAAAATGTTAAAGGAATATTTCAGCCAAAAAAGAACATTTACTGAAAAATAATGTATTCACCCTCAGACCATCCAGCATGTAAATAAATGAGTTTGTTTCTTCGTAGGAACAGATTTGGAGAAATGTATCATTACATCACTTGTTCACCAATGGATCCTCTGCAGTGAATGGGTGCCGTCAGAATGAGAGTCCAAACAGCTGATAAAAACATCACAATAATCCACACGATTTATCAGTTAACATCTTGCAAAGTGAAAAGCTGCATGTTTGTACCAAACAAATTCATCATTAAGGCATTTTAACTTTACAGTGTTACTTCACGCCAAAATACCAGTCCACAATTCATAACAACACTTCTGCCGGTGAAAGTCCATCCCCTCTTGTCCTCTCACATCAAAATCAACTGATGTATTTGCTTGTTTTGGACTGTTTTGTCTTATAAATGGTGCTTGATCTGTGCATATTTCTCCCCTGATTCAGACAAAATAACTTTTTTTTTTTTTACTGGAGAAAGTAATATTATGGACAGAGGATATTTTAGGCAGAAACAATGGTTGAAAACTTTTAATGATGAATTTGTTTCTTACAAGGCACCCATTCACTGCAGAGGATCCATTGGTGAGCAAGTGATGTAATGCTACCAAATCTGTTCCCATGAAGAAACAAACTCATCTACATCTTGGACAGCCTGAGGGCAAATTCTGTGCACACATTCGCAAAGCAAGAGCTAACTGGCTCCTCTTTGAGACTGAGTTTACCTGCAGTTTGCTTGTTTGGTTTGAGGTGAACTCTGAATATTTCCTCTTGTGTGGTGCACAGATACAGGACAGGAATTTGGCATACTCCTCTCTCACCTGTCAGGAAATTACAGAGACATTTATCACAGACAATAGCGAGTGCATTTTTATGATCATCGATTTATCATCATAACAAATGTGTTTGTGAGAGTTTAGCGGCTTTTAGTCTATGTTTATGATCTTTGAAGTCAACTAATTCTAATATTCTCTGTAAGATCTTAGATCTTCATATATCAAAGGTGCAGAAACATTGTTGGTGTGGGTGTTTTTGTGTTAGATTAGTTTACATTTACATGTGTATTTAAAAAGATGTATCTTGTGTTTTGTGCTAATAAGTTAATATGTTGAATTGCCAATTTTAGTTACCGTGCTGATAAATAGTGTTTTCACTTTACTTATGATCAGCTGCAGAGCTTAAGGCCGTTCACTTGATCGCTGTCTGATTAATTTGGTCAGCCGTAAAACAGATATTCTGTTAAAATTGCCTATAAACATAATCATTAATTCCGTCTGAACACAGATTTTTGTCCAATCGGATGCTCTCTAGAATGAAAATGGTTCCGCCCCCTTATAAAACCGCCCCTGAAACTGACTAGCAAGTGACAAATTAAATTCTATTGACTACTTTTTTTAATAGGGAAAAAAGATGTCAACAATCAACATAACATAACGGATGTCTTTACAAACAACATCAACTTAAAACTACTAATACGATATTAATAATTACAGTAATTTTTCAATCATTTGATTTAATAATTGCAAATTTAAACCCAGCCACCTCTCACTAAAAACGTTTGCTATTATAACTGAACTGCAATTTTTTTCTAGTGTTCATTTTAATGTTCTATTTATCATTCCCTGTCCAGTGTCAACATTTATTGTTTTATTATTACCTGTCCCTGGCTTAATATTTTGTCAAAGCATGATTGATCATTCCATATGTTCATATATTATCTTTGTAATGAGATGAACAGGACTCACTTGTTTTGAGAGCCAGCAGTGCAGGATGAACATCAGCACCCCCTGCAGGCTGCTTAGTATGGTGAAGATGTATGACATTGGCAGAGTGTTTTCATCAAACTGAAAACAGCCAAACACCCACATGATGCCAAGGATACACAGCTGAGCAATTGCAGTAACCGTAAATGCCCTGTAGGTGGAGATAAAGATCTGCTTATAGCACACTGTTACAAATACTAAACGCATAAGCGCATAAGAGATGACATTCAAAAACATTAACAAAAACTTTGATTGGTAGTGAGGGTTTAATAACATTTCTCACTTGATTTTGTGTAGACTGTCTAAGTCTGGGTTGAGGGAGGAAAACTTTTCTGCCAGCTTCCATATTGTTATGAGGAAGAATAATACATTAACCTGAAACGAGCAGACAAAACGTAGTTTAAACAACAGCTTTCATTCTTTACATTTCTTTTAAGAGATTTTTGATTGTTGGTAATGTGGTACTTTCCAATAATAGCATAAACTATGCTGTTTAAAGTACAAACTCATGGTTTTTTGTTTTGAGAACTACTTAATACAATATATTTGATAAACAATGAGTAACATGAATAAGTAGTTTACCTGCACTGAAAAATGATATTATCTGAATTAATTGGTTTTATTGTTATTTATTTAAATGTTTTTATTTAAATATTTAAAAGAACTGAATCAACATACATTAGGTTTTACTATTTTAAGTATTAAATTAGGTAGACATTCCTATTTAATGTAACAATGACACGTTTTACCCATTGGATAAAATGCAACATTCCTAAAAATTCTGACAGACATTGTATGGTACTAAATATTGTGACACACAACAACAAAAAATATTGGGACCCTTTTTACAGTACATCACTGTATTGTAGAAAGCCATTTACCCATTTATATACTTTTTTAATGCAATAAAATATGTGACCCTGGAGCACAAAACCAGTCATAAGTAGCATGGTTATATTTGTAGCAATAGCCAAAAATACATTGTATGGGTCAAAATGATTGATTTTTCTTTTATGCCAAAAATCATTAGGATATTAAGTAAAGATCATGTCATATCATATCAAGATCATGAAGATATTTTGTAAATTTCCTACTGTAAATATATTAAAACTTAATTTTTGATTAGTAATATGCATTGCTAAGAACTTCATTTGGACAACTTTAAAGGCGATTTTCTCAATATTTTGATTTTTTTGCACCCTCAGATTCCAGATTTTCAAATAGTTGTATCTCGGCCAGATATTATCCTATCCTAACAAACCATACATCAATGGAAAGCTTATTTATTGTATAAATCTCAATTTCGAAAAATTGACCCTTATGACTGGTTTTGTGGTTCAGGGTCACATATGTAATATAATATTTAGTTTGGCCTTCCCCCATTTCCTTGCTCTTGACTCTTAGATCCTATTTTCTAATATATTTTGTGGAAAGTGCCATGTTAAGAGGTACTTACAATAATTATGACACAAACTGGCCCATAAAAGCTCCAGATGAAGCCATCTGGAATGTTGAGCCAACAGCTACAGATAAAGAAAAACATCTTAATACCATCAGAAACAAACCTGAAATTCTAATTAGCGTCTGCAAAGACATCAGTAATGTCTAAAACTCACTAGTTATCGGTGCCATATCCACTTGCGTTCACTGTGGCTGAAATGGCAACGATAACAGCAGGAACTCCATAACCAGCGGCAAACATATAGATGGGTCTCAGCGTTGTGTTGAAGACCAGCACCACCATGCGGAAGAGCTGCACTCCTTCCAGACACATCCAGCAGAAGGAAGCCAGGAAGAAGTAGTGCAGAATGCCTGCAACGACTGCACAGCCCACCTGAAGGACAGGAAGTGAACACTCAGGATGTTTATTATCAGACCCAGACAAACCAACCCTGTTTGAAGCCGCAGTTCACCTTATTCTCTGTGCGGGTGATGCCCACGAGGAACACAAAGTAGGCGATGAAGAGGCTGATGCAGAGGTGCAGGTGGATGGTGTTGCGTGTGCTCTGGATGGATCGCACGAAGTAAAACGTGACAATGCAGATGAGGAGGCAGATCAGAGACAGCGGCAGTCCCACCAGTGTGACCAGACGCAGCTCGTATACATCCTAGTTAAGAGAGAAAATGAAGAGTCTCCTTAACAGATTTTAACTTACAGTTAGAGTGTGAGCGCGTTAAGTATTCTTCTCTCTTTTGCAGCATGTATTTTAATCCTCTGTTGCACTGCACATATCATTAAAGGTCATTGCAATTATTCAGGGTGTGACCTTTGACCCTCGCCCACAATCCTGTATGACTATCCTCCTATATTATATCATTGGCTGCGTCCGAAAGCTTAGGCAGCAAATCAGTGACTTTGCGGGCAGCGTTTGCGCATGAAGGAACCTGATGAGACTAATGTCAAACATCTGAGGTAGCATAAAGCATAATGATCTACAACAAATTAGAGAGGGATTTGGTGATAACTAAGCAAATATTTAATTACTACAATACTAATTTTAAAAGTTGTTCAAAAACATACACTTATACAAAAACTGACCTTAACTTTCAAACACTGTTTTATTTGTTAATTGTCTCGGAATGGAACGCACAGGATAGTGGGAAAAGGATACAGGCCATAGGTTATATACTGCATGCCTATAAGTCATTTGCACACATACAGTATGGCCAGTCTTACTAACAGCTCGCGCCAGCGTAAACCGTCTTTTGGCGTTAAAGTACACTCTTAAAAATAAAGGTGCTTCAAAAGGTTCTTCAAGCGATGCCATAGAAGAACCATTTTTGGTTCCACAAAGAACCATTCAGTCAAAGGTTCTTTAAAGAACCATCTCTTTCTTACCTTTTTATAATCTGAAGAACCTTCTTTCGCCACAAAGAACCTTTTGTGAAACAGAAAGGTTCTTCAGATGTTAAAGGTTCTTTATGGAACCATTTAGACAAAAAGGTTCTTCTATGGCATTGTGAAGCACCTTTATTTTTAAGAGTGTAGTACTGTCAGGATTTAGCCTACTAAAGATGCGCAGTGACAAATTAGCGCCGAAAAGGCGTGGACAGTTATTTTTGTGCCTGACCTTACAGAATATGCATTTGTTTCAAATACAAAATTTATGGGAGGACGTTTTACTAACGTTTGCACTCGTCAAATTACTGGTATTTACTGGTATTTATGCCATTATTTAACACCCGATAAAGCATGTCATAAACTATTTTTTACACACGGCGGGCTAGAGTGAGCTTGAGAACGGCGCGGCCGGCGGATTCGACGAAGGAGACTTGTGGCAACCACATGTGATGACCCCGGGCTGGACTCTGCTTCGTCTACGGTGAAAGCCGATCCGGCGATCGACAGCGCGAAGTTGATGTATTTCCTCAGCGACCAGCATGGATCAGCTCTAGGCATGACGAAGCGGATATCGTACTCTTTTGGACGACCAAACAAAGCAGTTTCGCTTTCACAACGAAACACACAGCGTCTTCACGACATGGCGGCGGCGGCAACAACAATACTAGAGCGAGAATAAAAGTTACGCTTTCTTTCTTTGCGTGAACATTTGGGCAGCGTTATGCAAATCTTCCCACATCGTGACGTAGACATGTTGGGGCGTGTTAGAACGAGCCGTTTTAGGTAGGCGTGGTTGACTCTTAACTTTTATAAAGAATATCTCTTTGGATTTGAGACTTTAGTCTTTGCAACTTTGCAGATCTTCTTTATGCACCAAGAGCTTGTAACACTCCAAAGAGAAAGGAAAAATTGAAATCGCATCATATGACCCCTTTAATTTGCGCGTTGTTAGTAAATCACCCGCAGAAATGCTAATTTGCCCAAAACTGGCCCGTAATATTTATCTTTTAACAAACTCTTTAGTGCCTAAAAATACTTTTGTATTAATAGTTTAACTTTTATGATGTGCTCAAGTTTTGGTGACAAAAGTTAGAATACAAACCCCAATATCATAGAGAGCCATAAGCACAGCAAAGCTGCTGAGGTGAGAACAGGAGCAGACGGTCTGATCGGCACTGGATCTCACTGTAGTGCAGCCACGTGTTGACCACGCGCCCCCTTCCAGTTCAGGATCCCAAAACACACACATAGGCTTATGCTTCTCATTCTTTTTCTGGAGGGAAATGTACGTGCAGAATTATTAATTGATAGTATATCATATTGGTGAAACACATTATATGTGGTACATTGAGAGAATTGTTCCATACCTCCAAGTGAGAAAACGTGAGATTTACTGGTTTCGTTAGATTGTCTGTCTCTTTGTTACTAACAGTGGCAGTTACTACTTTTGAATTGATCTTGAAAGTTTGCTTTTGCTGTGTCTCTAAATGGTCAAAATAGCCATTGAGTGATTCCTCCAGACCTTTGTAGCTGAGGAGAGCTGCAGTCGTAAAGCCTGGTTGATACACAAAGACGGTAGAAACTGTTTTATACTGTCGAATAATAAAAAGGTCACTTTTATTATTATTATTAGTACTATTATTTACTCTGTAAATGAAATTAGGAATATATACCGAGGTATGTATTTCCTGTTGCTGTGTCCCAGTGGGAGGTCAATTGTGCTCCACTAGTATTCATCATGAAATGACCCTCAGGTGGAGAATTGCCCCTCTTTACTAACAGCTCCACATCTGAAAGGCAAAAACCAAATTACAAATATAATAAATTCAGTGAAGCGGATGTACGATACTGACATAATATTTTGGTCTTACCAGTTTTAGCGCTTACTCTCCTGGTCTGGCTTACTGACAGCTGAGGTCCTATCAGTTTTAGCATGCTTTCCACAATACTAAACAATGCTGAGATTATATGATTATCACCATTGAAGCCACCAAGAAGCAGATCATCTAGAGCATTTAGAAATGCCTGTATGCGGTTGGGTAAAATGAGAGAGAATTGTGGATCAAGATGATGTTTAAGTATAAGCACTCATTTGAGCTTGTTGAACTTAAGTGCATTTATGGTAAACTAAAATATACTTTAATGTAATTTTTATTCAAACTTGTATGTCATGTATTTAAATATATTTGTAATGATGAAGTTGCAGTTTAGTACATTTTAAATATAGTAAGTGTAATATTGCAAAACACACTAAGTTAGCCTACATTTATAATTGAGTACATGTGTTTTATGTTAGTCAAGTCACCAAGAATTAGTGTACTTCTTTAAAGCATGACATATTATTAAAACATGATGATTTAATATATACTTTAAAACATTTAATTAGACATCACAAAGTGCACTTTTTTGCTTAAGTGTGTTAAGAAACAGTCATGAAAGTGTACTCTCTTTAGGTACATTTAAGTGGACATTTTTTGAATTAATATTATATCATCTGCAAATATTATTGTATAAAAGTATTTAAAAATATTCTTTAAATTTAAGTGCTCCTTTTCACAAGGGTATATATATATATATATATATATATATATATATATATATAGAAACTCTAGATGGCGCAGTCCGATAGGTCTAACTCAATCTGACCTAATGACATCATTATCACATGGCACTTTTTTGCTTAAGTGTGTTAAGAAACAGTCATGAAAGTGTACTCTCTTTAGGTACATTTAAGTGGACATTTTTTGAATTAATATTATATCATCTGCAAATATTATTGTATAAAAGTATTTAAAAATATTCTTTAAATTTAAGTGCTCCTTTTCACAAGGGTATATATATATATATATATATATATATATATATATATATATAGCCAATCTGTGAATTTTTGCAATAAAACTGATTAACAAATCAGACTGATTTATCACCTGCAAAAATCTTTCTCCGTCCCCTTGTGTAAAATGCTTCATGCTGACAGAATCACTCTGATTCAGTATCAGACAGCTGTTGGTCATCAAAGAGACAAGTTTTGTGAACTCTGGAGATGCCTACACAGAAAAGAGAAATCAGCATTCTGGTTCATTATGAATGACTGCAATATTCGGTTACAGTAATCTAGTAAAAGTTACGCAGTACCTGAGATGCTTTGCTCTCACTAAATAATCTGTCGCACTTTAGCTCTAAAAAACAAAACAAAACTATAAACAAAATATAACTAAGCAATATCACACAAGAAAAGGTATGGTTGTGATTAGGTGATCACATTTGATATTCAGACCAGTAGCACAGATTGTGTGTTTGCAAGACAGATCATTAAACAAGAATCAATATTACACTTAAAAAATTGGTAACCTAAAATGGTTAACATATTAATTACATCAACAATATTAATATTTGGTGCAAACACATGCAACTGCTGTGTGCTATGAATTATGGGAAAGCATGAAATTTAAGAGATATTTAGGAACCAAAATAAACTTTTAACAGAGAACTCTAACCTGTGCATTTCATTTGTTTGTGACCATAGTTGGTGAATCCTAAGCACAAACATTCAAGGCCGTCTTTGCTGTTTTTGCAGACTCCTCCTCCACATATAGATTTATCAACGTCACATACACCTTCAACAACATCAAAACAGCATTTTGGAGGATATTAGATTTCTCAAAAATAAACCGAAACTTCAATGTGTCAAAATGTGAACTTGAATGGTTTGAAAGGACCTACTCTCGCAGAGTTCACTTGTATCAGTGAAGTTAGTTTCTCCTGACTTTAGTCTGAATCCAGCATCACAGATGCAGTAGAAACCTCCAGCAGTGTTATGACATGATGCGTGTTTTCCACAAAAACTGGGATCATTGCATTCATTTCTGTCTGTAATTTAGGGACAGATAATAAACAAAACTCTCAACTGAAAACTCTCACATTAGACTGCAAGCAAACAGATGGCCAAAAAATACGTAGGATAAAATTGTTTGATACCAATACACTGAACTCCTTGTCCTGAATTGCTGGAAATGTAGCCAGTCGCACATGTGCATTTATATCCTCCTTCAGAATTGACACATTCTGTATTAGGACTACAATCAGCGCTGCCAACCACACATTCATTGATGTCTGAAATGAGATGAACAGAGATTCAGATGTTTTCTCTGCTGCACAGAGATCATGTGAGATGCATCATATCATCATAGCATGTTACTGGCATGTTTCTAGCATGAATTAGCTTGTTCCTAGCATGTTTTAATACATAACTAACATGTTTGCTGCCATGTTTCTAGCATTTCTAGCATGTCGCTAACATGATTTAACACACTGTTACCATGTTTTAGCATGATTTAGCACATTGCTAGCATCTTTTAACATATTGCTAACATGTCTTAGGCTAGTTACCAACATTCTTCAGTATATCATCTTTTATGTTAAAAAGAAGAAATAAACTCATACAGATTTGAAACAACTTGGGTGGGTAAATGATGACAGACTTTTTGGGTGAAAATTGAATTTTCAATTTGGGTGAAAGTTTCCTACCAATACACTGAACTCCTTGTCCTGAATTGCTGGAAATGTAGCCAGTCGCACATGTGCATTTATATCCTCCTTCAGAATTGACACATTCTGTATTAGGACTACAATCAGCGCTGCCAACCACACATTCATTGATGTCTGAAATGAGATGAACGGAGATTCAGATGTTTTCTCTGCTGCACAGAGATCATGTGAGATGCATCATATCAAGCTCTCTTTACCTTTGCATTTATTCGAGTTCGCTTGTTTGAAATTGCCATCTGAGTTTATGTTGAATAACTTACATTTACACAGTATTGTCAGTTATTTTTTGCTGTGTTGACAGAAATTGTTTTAAACAAAGCCACGGTGCCTCCGAGAAGCTCACAGTTGTGGCATGTTGTTCCTGATTGAATTTATGGTTTTGAATGAATCATTGATTGAATGATTCAGTGACTCACTCATTATAGTTACTTGTCGCCACCTACTAGCGTATTAATATAAACTGCAGCAAGTCACTGAAAAATCCCCACCACTAATACACAGCGTTTTGTGCTTTGAATGAACATGAAAAGTACATGAAAAGCATGAAATTCAAGAGATATCTAGTAACTAAAAACTTCTCATGAAAAAAGTTAATAAAAGAAGGCCTTAATTGTTTAATCCTAACACTGTCCAATGTCAAATCTGGGTCATTAAGCAAAACCAGAAGCACTAGGTGGCCAATAAATGTGTAAGGTCTAATAGTTTCTTACCAATACACTGAACTCCTTGTCCTGAATTGCTGGAAATGTAGCCAGTCGCACATGTGCATTTATATCCTCCTTCAGAATTGACACATTCTGTATTAGGACTACAATCAGCGCTGCCAACCACACATTCATTGATGTCTGAAATGAGATGAACAGAGATTCAGATGTTTTCTCTGCTGCACAGAGATCATGTGAGATGCATCATATCAAGCTCTCTTTACCTTTGCATGAAATTGCATCCGCTTGTGTGAAATTATGAGCTGAAAGTGTTGTGAATCCTTCATGACATTGACAGTAGTAGCTGCCAACAGTGTTGAAGCATCTTGCATTTTTTCCACAAATGGATGGTTGAGACACACACTCATTGTCCTCTATAACAATGACAGAGAAAGTTTGAATAACCATAGCACCTTTTCCTGATTTTTATTTAAAATTCATTAATAAGTGCTGTTTCATGAATGTGTCGTATATCTGCAATATAATTTCCAGCTATTCAATAATATACAACATCAACAAAACTTGATTATTATTTGTGTGTGTTTGTGTGAATCTTGTATAAATGTTGGCATGCACAACCCAAGTAAAATCCTGTTAAGCCCTGACATCAGAGTATCATATATGTTAGCTTTTTTATTCATACCTACACAATTTCCACTGCGCTTTACATATCCAAGTACGCAGGATGTTTGCATCAGGATGTTCTCTGTCAGTGCTAACAGAAGAACTACAAGCAGAAAATAAAAAGTCTGTTACTGCAGGTTTAGTGTCTTTGGTGTAGTTTGATGCACATATAGTGAGTCTGAGACCACACTGATAATCTGAGATGTTTTTATGTTAACTTGCAAATATGCAGGTAGTTTTAGGAATTGTAAAAAGTCAAACCAAAGGCATTCAGAAATTAAAATTTAAAAGAAATGAATAAATTCATGATAATTTTCAATTTGACTAAAGTAGTTATGTAATGAAATGGTAACATTGACTATATTGCTCTCAAGCATGTCAAACTGAGCCACATTTTGACCCATCCTAATCTCATAGGTAAAACATGCTAAAATTAACCAAAATTACTTATTGCCTATAATGGCTTTCTTGGCATTCAATTTACTAGGAGTAACAGTCTTAGAAGACAAAGTTGGAAGACGTATCAAAGAAAAAAATAAATCTATTAAGCTAATTCTATTTCCACTCATTGTTCATGACAGTTGCATTGAGATGATGGCCAGTCAGGAAGTACACTGCTCGAGAGCTATGGGTGAGGTGCTGCGCAGTACTGTGGCTAACAGATTTAACTTACAGAACCAGCATACAGATCACCGCACTGTCACATGCTTTGACCACAGGCTTGGTCAGCCAGAAGACTGTTAAAAAGTGCCGTAACACTTTTTACAACCACATTGGTGACTCAGCCATAACCTAAGGTGTGGTCTTGCTCATTATTTTGTAACCAAGCATCAGGCAAACAATGTTTTTAGGATTTTGTTCTTATTCTTTTCAGTTTAACAGTAAGGTTTATGTAACACTTTTTTCGCTCTTCATAGTTTTTCCTGGGTTTGATGTCATTGTCCCATCAGCCTGGGCCTCTCAGCTGTGGACACATGAAAACACCTTGGATTTCCTGTCCTGATTTGGTTTCCGTCAATATTTTTCCATTGTCAAAATCAAAGCCAAGGAACTTCACGATTTAAAGTAGTTCACCCCAAAATAAAACAATCTGTCATAATTGACTCACCATCAAGTCGTTTCAAACCTGTATGATTTTCATTTTTGTGTGGAGCATAAAAAGGACATTTTGAAGTGTGTTTTTGTCAATGGTTATCAAAGTGGTTTTGTTACCAACATTTTTCAAAATAAATTATTTTGTGTTCCCCAGAAGAAATAAAGCCATAAAGGTTTGCAGCGACAATGAGTAATGACAGAATCTTCATTTTTCAGTTTAACTTTTGAGTTTCACTTGTCATTTTCTCACAATATCACATGAACTTACAATATTTTGATTATACAGTTTTACTATTGCAGTGTCTTTAGGTTAATGAGTTTGCATCTTTCCCCAAAATCACTTCTTTCATTTCACTTCATGGTTGTTTCCCAAACACTTAAACAGAATGTCTTAAGACTATGACAGCAGGAGCAAAACCCTCTGAGAAGACAAATGGATGTTGTGTTTCTTCTCCATTCATCAGTCACATTCAGCTGGTGCTTTCCAGATTACTGGAGCTCATAGGCCCTGCTTCAGATAAAAACTACCCCATTGTGACATCAGATTTTCCTATCTGTGGCAGTTTCCTTTCATGCCCATTTACTGTTTCTCTACTTTTGAAACTGCAACGATTACGCAGTTGTTGGCAGGGCAACATTTAATTTAGCAGAACCACACAGTGGCTCCATACAAACATCTGTCTCTACATTCATCAGTGGAAACTTCAATCCTGAAGAAATCTGAAGCGTGACTCACCCAGACTCAGCAGATGCTTGTGCCTCATGATCAAAGAGTGAAAGAAACTCGCAAAATGAAAAATCAATAATGAATACGGCTTATGGTTTGATCCTGAGCAACTTTTATATTTGAATGCCTCCTTTTCTCAGTCTTGCTCTCAGACTAGGTCTTGTGTCTCTCTCGCTGACTCTAATGCTGAACAAGCCTGAAGTGCCTGAAAGAGTTTTGTTGGTCCAGCCCCCTGCTTTGGTTGACACCGAGAGGGAGGGAGTGGGACAAAAAGTTGCAAGAAAATGACAATTGGCTTCATGATGTCAGTGTAGTGTTGAGTAACTCTTTCTTGGATGTTAATCTGTTCGCAGAATCTTTCTATTTAATTAAGAAGCATTAAAAACAAACAAACAAAGAAAAACAAAAAACTGAAAAAAAAAAAAAACCTGTTTTCAGTGTGTTTTGCTGAACCCAGTTCAATTATTAATATTGATAATGTTACACATAAAGCATTCAGGTAAAGTTGTAACTTTAACTCCCAACATCTGAGCTGGGGGGGGGGTTAATACTGAAGATGCGTGTGTGCATTTATACGTGTGACTTCCTGTTTTCGTGTTGTCATGAAGGTGTCAAGGAGACCGTTCTGCTTTCAGTGCTGATATTTTATCACCCATGCAGTTTCTAACACGTACATGTTTTTTTAGTATTGTTTTAGGTTAACAATACTCCAGTGTTCCTATCCCAAAAATGCATTTGCTAAAATAACCTTTAGCCTGTATTCATATGCAGAGGTTCCTATGGGAATGTTTGTTTGACAGATTTAATGTTACATTGTACTGACATTGTGCAAAGTTATATTTGCTCAAACAATGTCTTCTAGCTGTGTTCCTTTGGGCTAGATTCATAAATGGGACAAGTCAACAAGTAGGCTAATGTCCCAGACCTCTCAACAATGGCACCCATTTGTGTAGTTCTGGTGTTGCTGTGACCTGTTGATTGATTCTTTGATATTGCAGCTTTACATGCATTGTGGAAGAAAAATGGCTTTCTTCTTACATCATATTTTAAAATTGATGTCGTTGTCAACATTGAAGAGATTGTATCGCTACCCAAAAATAAATGAGGACTACTCAACCTACTCAACGCACACTCAAAGCAAAAAGTATAAGTGCTCAAGTATAAAGTATAAGACACCTCAGTGCATGTTTTCTTTTATGGAGAAGACAATCCCATATTATACACTATGATGAGCTATATATTTGCTATAAACAAACATCCAAGCTGAGGTATGAAGCAAGAGATTTGTTCGAGATACTGGTCATTGTAAAGTTCTTAAAGGGATAGTTCACCCAAAAAGGAAAATTACCCCATGATTTACTCACCCTCAAACCATCCTAGGTGTATATGACATTCTTCTTTCAGATGAATTCAGTCGGAGTTATATTAAACAATGTCCTGGCTCTTCCAAGCTTTATAATTGCAGTGAATGGTGGTTGAGATTTTGAAGCAAAAAAAAGTGCATCCATCCATCATAAAAAAAGGTGGTGGTGGGTGGG